TGTGTGTGTGTGTGTGTGTGTGCCACTGGAGCACACCAGTCTAGAATTGCAGAAGAGGTCAGTCAGTGTTTGGGTTGCAGGGAAATTTCAGTTGAATAGCAGTCGTTGCCTATGGTAAGTGGTCACCCCTACAGACTGGACAGGACCGGCTCGGGTGTGGACTGTGGAAGCACCACATCCACTTCTCACAGTTGCAGCTGCTGCATTGAATTGCACACGTAGACAGATGTCACACGCTACATGGCTCCTACATGTTAGGAACGAGAGGTACGCCCACCGCCATTATACAGGCATGATTGCCATTCCAGCCCCCGGTAGAAATAGGACATGACATGGTAGAGGACATGAGTGCAATGTTGAGTGTCATCATACGTATGGTCCGTTATGGAAACAAAAGCTTGCATGTGCTATACCTTCATGATCATCATGACACAAAGCACACAAATCACATGCTAGCTGAATCTCAGGTGCGCCATCACAGAGCGGCATTGTGCGAGTTTCTTCGGTTTGCATGTTGCTATACCTTCATAATCCTCATGACACAAAGCACGCAAATCACATGCTAGCCGAATCTCAGGTGCGCCATCACAGAGCGGCATTGTGCAAGTTTCTTCGGTTTCCACAGCCAACATTCCCTGTCTATGGGCAGGCGATGATGGGGCCTGATCCAAAGTAAGGGTGTTTACCTGTTACAAGATCTGGTCTCCAACAGATCGCCCTACCGGCGACAACGTTTCAGTACAGGGCACTGTAGGTGGTTCATGTGAGAGTCTATTTTTCCACATGAAGCCGCTGCGTCTGTTGTTCGTCTGGCAAGTGTGAAGGAGATTTGACTATGGGTGCAGCAGGTGTACGCCCAACGCTGCATGTGGGACATGAACGGAGAGGATGCGGCAGGTGATGGCATCGGAGACAGGCCACAAAGTGGAGACACATACTTTCCATGACAGCTTCTTGGAAATATTCACGACACATGGCATGTTGCTGACATGCCAGCAGGAAAGTAGGCTGACGTTCGCAACTTCGCAGGTATTTAAGCATGACATGTCAGAGCTTCAGCTTATATTTTGTCGGTTCTCTTCATGATGCTCATGGTCGTATACATTTAGTAGTAGTGCACAAGGGAAGGCAGGAAGGGAAGGGTGTAGGAGGCAGAGTAACAGCGATTTCATCAAAACGGACATTTTATATTTTTTGAACGAAATTGAAACCTACTTGTTTGGCCTAAAAAATATCACCGTTTATCTCGCGAGGGTCAATTAGGACTTAATTGAAGTTCAAGTACATCCAAGGAGGACCCTAAAGAGCTAAAACAGCGACATTTTCAGGGTCAAATAAGTGGGTTTCAATTTCGTTCAAAAAATATAAAATGTCCGTTTTAACGAAATCGTTGTTGAGTTCTATAGGGAGTGAGGAGCAGGGTGAGGAGGAAGGGGTAGGGGAGAAAGTGGAGGGGCAAAGGACAGAACAGAGATATGCCAAGCTCCTCTGGGCCCAAATACTCACCGCTGGAGTTGTCTACGCTAGAATGGCACAAGGGGCCAGTCAGTGTTTGGGTTGCAGAATATTTGGAATTCAGGAGCAGCTGTTGCCTACGGTAAGTGCCACCGCTCCGAACCGGAAAAGACCGGTTCGGGTGAGGACTGTGGAAGCACCACATGCCATTCTCGCAGTCACAGTTGCTGCGTCAAATGGCGTGCGTAGAGAGATGTCACAGGCTACATGGCTCCTATATGCTAGGAACACAGGGGCACACCGACCACAATTGCATCGGCATTGCCGTTCCAGCCGCTGTCTACGAATTGGACATGACATGTCATGGTGCCGTACATGAGTGCAGTATTGACTGTCATCATACGTACGAAGGCAAAAACTCACATGGGCTATCCCTTCATAATCCTCACGGCACAAGGCATGCAAACCACATGCTAGCCGAATCTCAGGCGGGTCATCCCAGAGCGGCATTGAGCAGGTTTCTTGGGTTTCCCTAGTTTTCATTCCCTCGCCATGCGCATGAACCTGCTCACGTGGTGGTCTTCATTCCTTCTTCGCATGGCGAGGGAATGAAGACTAGGGAATCGCAAGAAACCTGCTCAATGCCGCTCTGGGATGACCCGTCTGTCCCAGGATTGGGTCTGCAACAGCTCGCCCTGGTGGTGATAATGGGAATGATCCAAAGCAAGAGGGTTTAGCTGTTGCAGGATTTGGCCTGCAGCTCGCCCTGTTGGTGATAATCTCTCAGTACAGCGCTCTGTAGGTGGGTTTACCTACCGCATTTTTCGTACCCTCGGCCTCGAATGGATTTGGACCGGAGGGGCAGGCCGATTCGGCTTCCGCATTAACAGCCGCCCTAACCGGTAGGTACTGGTGGTTTAAGCATGTCATGTCAAGGTCGCAATAGTGTACTGGTTAAGTAATTAGAGGAGGGGGTTGGGGGGGGGGGGGGGCTTGTTGCTGAGTACAAGAGAATGGGTCACAGTTTTCGCGGCAGAGGCTGGCAGCGACCACCCCTTCATAGAGTTTGGAGCAGAGACTATATCCCGTGTGCATGCTAACGAACTGCAGCTGTGTGGGGAGATAATGACATGGCACCGCCACCATCCTTTGGAGGGCCCCCTTCACTGTCGGTGGAAGAATCCATCTGATCTACACAGGGAAGGGACGCTGGTTGGCCATGTGCAGGGGACAGGGAAGGGTCAGCCGGATTGCCCTCCGGAGACTGCAGAGCTTGTGAGTGCAAATACTGTGTGTGTTTGCATGTGTGTGTGTGTGTGAGAGAGAGAGAGAGCCTCCTCATGCATTGCTCAAGTTAAGACGGAGACAGGTGGCCAAGGATGGCTTTATGTCGAGTACCAGGTTTGCCACATGTTGAAATTCACCTTCAAGTGCCTACCACAGTCATTCGCAAAATGCCACCCAGCACTCTTGGGCATTGCACAGTTGCAGTTTTTTTTGGTACCCCAGCGTACGGAATAGAACAAGGCAGCCTTAGGCAGAGGTGAAAATGAACATATGACTGTGCCTTTTTGAGTGTCATTGCATTTTTTTTATAGTTAAGAAAACTAAAATATATATTCTTCTCTCAAGTATACCTCACACTACCTAACCCCATCCATGCCTACATCTATCTAAGTCCACTTGAGCCTAATCGCAGTGATCGACATCTATGCACCGAAGAGGGAGTACACTAAGGGTTATGGGTTGAACCTATCCCCTCAGGGTTGAACCGTTTTTTTTTTTTTTTTTTTTTTTTTTTTTTTTTAACCCCTGAGTCCCGGACAATGAGTGGAAGGCACTACACCCCTCTACCAACCAATATATATTTCCCTGCAGGAATCTAACCCATGTGTGGGTTAGATTCCTGCAGGAAAAACAAAATATATATAACCCATGACGTTTCTTGCTCTACCAACTGAGTTACGCTGCTGGCCTTTGAGTGTCATTGCAGGACATGCTTATTCAAATATTTGAATTATATTTCTACAGGGAAAAAATTGTGCACTGTGCAGGCTACAGGTCATCATGCTCAGTCGTCCTCCGGGACATGCGATAAAAGGATTGGAACGATATACAGAGAAGGGGTAGATTAGCAATATGGCCCCTCCCTGCGCTTTCAAGGATGACACACATAAATCGAGAAATGGTCCAAATTCAACAACAACAACAACAACAACAACAACAAACCAAAAAAAAAGAAAAAAGAAAAGAAAAAGTCATGCTGAGATGGGAGGTTTCATCACATAGAGGACATCCGGTTTAATCTGGCAGAAGCATTGCAGAGTCCAGAGTCCAGAGTCACTTAACAATCGACGGTTTGCATATTGGCGATCAATAATCAGAAAACAAAATCTGGCAAAAGGATGATACAATGATAGATGTACTTACGGGAGCAATGACAAAGTAAAAGATAGCGAATGCTCCGTAGACCAAGATGATTGTGTGCCACTCCTCGGCGGTGACCTCCGGTATCTCATCAGGGAGATTCAGTCTTCCATATGCTGCGAGAGCCGGTCCTGCTGACCAGAGAGCCTAATCACACAACCATGGCAACATGCCCCCAGGTTAACAGACAAACACTATGGATAGCACTCCCCACACAAATACCGAGTGTCAAAGTAAAACGTCCTGGAGGACCTGACTACCTCCAGGGGTATCTGATCCCCAGAGGGGTGTTTGCTCGCTGGAGGGGAATTTGACCCCCTAGAGGTACCTCCAGGTCAGGGGTCAAAATACCCCTGGAAGGGCTATTGAGGGTCAAAATACCCCTGGAGGGGCTACTGAGGGTCAAKATGGGCTACTGAGGGTCAAAATACCCCTGGAGGGGCTACTGAGGGTCAAAATACCCCTGGAGGGGCTACTGAGGGTCAAAATACCCCTGGAGGGGCTACTGAGGGTCAAAATACCTCTGGAGGGGCTACGGAGGGTCAAAATACCCCTCCAGCGATGGTAGTCAGGCCGCATAATGGAGAAGGGTATTTGACCCTCAGTAGCCCACATGTCAGAAGGGTATATCCTTTGTCTGCAGGTAATGAGGCCTCGGCTACCATCTCGCACATACACACAGGGCAGGGCTTGTTAGCAGATGGTCAGGCCACATGCTTGTGGAAGAGCAGTACCCAACCTATGCTGGAGCCAAAGGAAAAAGAAGAAGAAGAAGAAGAAGAAGACGAAGGAAAAAAGAAAAGAACTGTGCTGGAGTTGGTGGGGATGGAGAGTACAGGTGTGGCATTTGGGAGACCAGGCAAGAGGGGGTTCCGTGCAGCAATAAGAGCAGGCCCATTGGAGGCCGACTGCACCCGAAGGGGCACACACACCACTGGTGCTATGTTCTTGCTAACAAAGCATGAATCTAGCCATCTGTACAGCTTTGTTCATCCTTTTTGATAAGCATGGTAAGCATGAACATAGCATCCGTGGGGCCTAGTAGGCCTACTGCAGTCTCAGTGTCCATGGATGAGATAGTTCAGCCCAGCTGTGTGAGCTCTTGTACACACTTTGCGGAGCCCTTCACAAAAGTGGCAGGGCTCAGTTTGTAAGGGACGCTGGACCCGGTTCCCAGCCCTTTATTAAAATGAAAATTAAACGGAAAAAAAAAAAAAATCAGCTTGTGCGGATGGATAGAGCAGTCACAACGACAACGGAGAGCTGACAAACACTGACGCTTCACTTGATGAATATGCAGCATAAGGCAATGGCAAATGTTTGTAGACCAGATGCTGTGCATTATGCATTTGGGGAGAGGAGTGAATCTGGCTCTTATTGCATCCATATTGCAAGACCTCTCTGTCAACATCATAACATTTACCATATCCCAAGATCTGTCCGGCATTCTAACATTTGCTGCTATGAGACAATGCGGCAATACTATGTATGGACTATGTACAGTGCACAATGCACATCAATGATACCATGTATGTACTATGGACACCATTACTATGTATGTACTACATGTACTATGCACACCTGTACTATGTATGTACTATGTACACCAATACTATGTATGTACTACTATGCAGGGTTACCTGACCGAACGTTCGAGGCCCCCGGGCTGGCCCCCGAACGTTCGGVCGTTCGGGGTCCCGTTCGGGGGCCGAACACCTCCAGGCTCAGCCCCCGCCAAAAAAACTTTCGGGGCCTAAAAATAAGTGTTTTTTCTGAATTTTTTTTTGTGATTTCTCTATGATGTAATCCAACGGCTATAAATTTTGAAGCCGTTCTGCTAAGCCAAAAAAACATTAAAAATCGTCAAAGATGGCGGTGTCAAAACGTGCTCGCCCACTCGCTATTTTGTTTTTTTTCACTTTTAACTTTTTGTTTTCACTTTATTTCGGGGCCTAAAAAATTTTATTATTTTTTGAAAACTTTTTGATGAAACAAACAGAAGTTGAGAGAAGAATATAGACAGTTGTGATCACCCCAATAAATAAAAAAAAAACTTTTTGATGAGTTATTGATTATGTAAACTACATATCTGTAAATTTTCAGGGCATTTGTCAATGCCAAAAAATAATTAAAAATTGGCAAAGATGGCCGTGTCGAAAAGGTGCTTGCACACTCAGTCATTTTAATTCTCTTTTTATTTTTTCTTATTTTTATCATAGTGTTTATTTTCTGTATTTGATTTTAATTCAAATTTGGTAAAGAGTTTGGATGTAGTGCCCAGGCAAATGTTGTTTAGTTTATTTTTATCCATAACATATTTTGTTTTCGGAATTTTTTGAAACCTTTTTTTTTTTTCTTTTTTTTTTCTTTTTTTTTT